AAACTGTCGGACCATTGTCACACACAACTCATTCAGGATTCCTAAACCTGGCAAATATTCCACCCATCGTTGCTTCCGCTGATAGTGCCTTAATGACCGCCACCTCAGGCGTCTCAGAGTGGGCATCTATTACAACTAGCAGCATCTGTCTCTCTACCAGTTCTGCAAAATCAACGTGAATTTGCTGCCATAGTGTTTGAGGTCATTCCCGTGGATGAAGGGGGCAATCACAGCGACGCCTTTCTTACTAATGTGCAGGATTCATACGATCCTGCTTTCTCCTCTATCTATAAGTCTGCATTTGGCCACCAAAAACAGTTCCTTACTATCTCTTTCATTCGCACCGTACTGCAGTGCCTTTGGTGCACTGTTCTAGCACCTTTTCTCTTACTGGGGGAAGGAGTAACAACTCTCATTTCCCCAGATTAAACACCAGTCTGGTATGGACAACTCCTACCTCCTGGGCAGGATTTGGACAGGTTAGGAGATTGAACAAAGAAGTGGCAGATGGAGTACAATGTGGGAAAGTGTGAGGTCATGCACTTTGGTAAGAAGAATAAAAGCATGGACTATTTTCTAAATGGGGAGAAAACGCAGAAGTCTGAAGTGCAAAGAGACTTGGGAGTTCTAGTCCAGGATTCTCTCAAGGTAAATTTGCAGGTTGAGTCAGTAGTCAGGAAGGCAAATGCAATGTTGGCATTTATTTGAGAGGATTTGAATATAAAAGCAGGGATATACTACTGAGGCTTTATAAGGCTCTGGTCAGGCCACATTTGGAGTACTGTGTGCAGTTTTGGGCCCCATATCTCAGGAAGGATGTACTGGCCCTGGAGCGGGTTCAGGCGAGGTTCACGCGAATGATCCCAGGAATGGAAAGCTTAACACATGAGGAACGTTTGAGGACTCTGGGACTATACTCATTGGAGTTTAGAAGGATGAGGGGGGATCTAATTGAAACTTACAGAATACCGAATGGCCTGGACAGAATGGAAATTGGGAACATGTTTCCATGGGTAGGAGAGACTAGGACCCAAGGGCACAGCCTTAGAGTAAAGGGAAGACCTTTTAGAACAGAAATAAGGAGAAACTTCTTCAGCCAGAGAGTGGTAAATCTATGGAATTCACTATCACAGAAGGCTGTGGAGGCCAGGTCATTGAGTACATTTAAGACTGAAATAGATAGGTTCTTGACTATCAAGGGGATCAAGGGTTATGAGGAGAAAGCAGGAGAAAGGGATTGAGGAACTTATCAGCCATGATTGAATGGCACAGCAGACTCGATGGACCGAATGGCCTAATTTCTGCTCCTATATCTTATGGCCTTACGGTGTATACGGGACTTAGGCTGTCCCCGTGACCAAATATGGGACTGAGAGCGTCCCCGTGACCTCTACTAGATTCTTGTTCAGAACAGAAACCTGGTCCTGGGATTAACCTAGGTCTGTCAATCAAGTAGTTTAGGGAATTGTGCGTACTTATTTTAAAATATTTAATTTCTGCAACCACTCTGAGAATAGTGTGGCTTGATTTCCAGCACACTACTCCGGTGAGCAGTGAAACATCCTACCGACCATCACCTGCCATCCTGCCACTCTACCCAACCACCATCAATTGCCACTCTACCCACCATCTGCACTTTGATTACCAGGCACCAGTTCCCTCACTCAATCTATACAAGCAAACATTACTAAATTACAGCGAATGTTAAAATAAATCTGCATAAACTAATTATATTTAGAATGATTAAACAATAATAAATATTAAGAATATGAAAAGTCATTAGCCTTTCAATTAATCAGTGAAAATAACATTACATGTTGAAAAGAAAAAGATAAAATATTAAAAGTTCTGTGATACTTGTAGATGTATTCATACACTTATTTCTCTGTGTTAATCTCAATGCTGTTTGCTGGTGCACTTAAGAGGCTTTCCAGTCCTCTAGCATTTTGAGGGGCACTACTTTGCTTTTTGTGCTGCCTTGATGTCTGGGCATCAGGCCGTCACTGAGACATCCAGGAGCAGCCATCCCTGGAAGTGTTGTGGCAGATGCATCTGTTCTGACAGTGAAATAACTGCACAGAGGCTGGTATCCCGTCACCAAGTCACCCTTTATTTACACCTGTACAGGACATGGACTCTGACCTACTATCTCACAGCCATTCCTCAGAGTGGGGAGACTGAATCTCCTGATTTCTTCTCAAAGCCAGTCCTTAGACTGAGAAGCCCTTCTGAATCTTCTGGGATTTTTTCTATCAGCCAGCTCAAAGCTAGCCCCCAGCCTGAGGAGGCCTTCTGATTCTCCTGTTTATTTATTTATTATTTATTCGCCACACTACTGCACAGCAATGGTGCTTATTTTTTTCCCCCACATCACCCGTGCTTGTCTGTGGGTACATAGAATCTGCTGTTTATATCTGTCAGCCAGAGGTCCCTGATTGGCCCGGGTTAACAATCCCAATTGAGGATCTCAGTCAATGAGATCAACTTGGCCCTGGTTCAAATCACTACAGACAGTAAACAGAAGTTCTGGCCCTAAGTTTTAAGTGATTACTACAGTGTTCTACTGCATTTGTTGCTCTCCTTAGCAAACTGTATACACTTACCATATAGATTTCAGAAATGGTCAATCTTATACCAAAGGTATCCCTGCCTTTTGTTCAGAAAAGTCATGTAATTCTCATATACCTTGTGCGTAGGCCACTCCAACTGTTAGCCAAAAAATGCAAACTCTTTATCTTTGATGCTGAAGTCAAACTTGCCCTGGAACAAACCTAGTTGATAGAATAGCACACCACTGTTTTACCTGGCGTAGTAGTGCTTATATTGTGGATTTCATGGTATTGAAGAATCCAACACATATATATTACAGCTAACTATTGTGTTCAAATATTACATTCTAACAGATGAACATGGTGTCTGAGTTAGGATTAAGGTGGCGAGTTACACAGAGGAATATGTTTCCAATAGAGCATCATGCTTCAAGTGATCCTGGGGTAACATGGAGTTTGAGACGTTAAAGCCTAAGGTCCCATACTGTGAAGCTGTGATAGTGTCATGAGACTCTCTCTTCAAGGTATGCTGACATACAGTCCATGTGACATTAACACAACACTTTTAGTTCCTTTGCACTACTTTTGTAGTCAGATTGGCAGGAACAGTCTACAAACTGGTGACCTTGTGATAGTAAGGTGATGGGTGAGGATGGATTTCAGTTCCTCCAAAACATTACCCATGGAAAAGTCAACACTCTAATTTTTGACCAAAACCAATAAATACATAAGGGCTGCATGGTAGCTCAGTTGTCAGCGCCAGGGACACAGGTTCAATTCCAGCTTTGGGAAGCTTCTTAGAAACTTGATGCTTACACCAGTACATACAGTAATCCGATCATTCATAGATTGTGCAGGCAGGATGGAAAACCTACCAACCATTCAAAATTCTCCCTGACAAGTACAGAACATAAATATAGCTGCCTTTTTTGTATGTTGTTTAAGTGTGAAAGCAATGAGACAGTGTGGAAAGCTGAGTGGAAACAAAAATGAGGAGAATGAGAGGAAATCATAAATAGACAGAATGAGGAAGAAAACTAAAAAAAAAAATCCAGGAAACAGAGGAGAGTGACAAAAAGTGGAACTAAAAAGAAAAGTGTGCTCAGTTTTGCTCTAGTTACAGTGGGAAGAGGTGAAAGTAGTGGAGCACGGCAATGTTGTTCAGATGTCGGGAGCTGCCTTAAGAGACGCTGGTAAGACTGGATACAAACTGTGCAATCTGAAGCATTGCAATCCCCTCCTCCTGAGAGAGAGCAGGGCTGTAACACACAACTAAAGAATTTTTTCATCAAATTCTGTTACTTCCCACAGACCATTCTCAGTAAATCATTTGGGATCCCTAGTTTAAGGGAAATCAAAATCATATGGATATAAAAACTGAGGGCAGGCATGCCTTTGACTTCCACTTTGATGGAAATTATGGCATCTGTCACTGTTTCTTTGTTGTTGCTGCCAATCTGTAGTTCAGGTTGGGCAGGTGTTTGAAAGATTTCCCAATGCAGGATTTTTCTATTGGCAATGATGATGTCTGATTCATCAGACCATTTCTAACTCCTCATCGAGATAAGAATTACACCATGGTGGATGACCTTTGAATTACCACAGGTGTACAACAAAGCCAGACAATGTCGCAGCTCCCTGATACCCACAGACATGAACACTTACAGTGTAGGAGGCTAGTTGGCCCACTATGTCTGCACTGGTCAACAAAAATATGAGTAGACTAATTCCATTTTCCTGCTCTCAGTCCATAGCTGTGGAGGTTACAGCAACTGCTTCAACATAATGAAAGTTTCTTACTCAACCAGCCTTTCAGGCAGTGAGTTCCAGACTCCTATCACCCTCTGGGTGAAGACATTTCTCTTCTACCCTTCTCTTAACCTTCAACCTCATACCTTAAATCTATGCCCCCAAATTACTGAATCCCTTACTAATGTAAAAAGTGCCTTCCTATCCATCCTTCCTAAGCCCCTCATTATCCTATACACGCATATCATGTCCTCTCTCAACCTTTGCTGCTCCAAGGAAAACAACCCCAGCTTACTGAACCTTTTCTTATAGCGCAGCATCCTGGTAAATCTCCTCTGCACCCTCTCCAGTGCAATCACATTCTTCATATATTTTGATGATCAGAACAGCACACAATACTCCAGTTGTGGCCTAACCAGTTTTGTTATACAGACTCAGCTTGATCTCCTCACTCTCGCATTTATTGCCGTGGCTATTAAAGGCAAGTGTCCCATATGCCTTCTTAACTATCTTATCTACCTGCCTGCAATCTCCAGGCATCTGTGGATATGCACACCGAGATTCCTCTGACTTTCAGTACTATGCAGGGTTCCACGGCTAACTTCAGTCTCCCTGCAAAGATCAAGCCTAGCACCTCAAAGTGATTTCCTTTTTGACATTAATGTGAGCCAGACACAATGAGATATTTTGATAAACACGTACTATTAGCTTTCATCTGGGAAAGTTCCAACTTGGTATGGTCCTGCGAGTTACTGACATTGGTGAACATCTCTGTCACTGAAAAGAAAACAGATTTAAAATCATAATTCAACAAAGAATTTTGTTGCATTTGCTCAATATTATCTATCACCATACTACAATGTAACTGCTCAAATCATTACATTTCTCTAAGTTTTACACTGGTTAATTACAGAACACTTTGATAAAATTGATATAGTGAGTGAATTATCCTTCCTGTAGGGACACCACAGATGAAGGAAGCAGATTATCCTGCAGGAACACACAAGAATACACTGAGTGGACTGTCCTGTAGGACACAAACATGGGAACACAGCCATTCACGTTGAGGCACTGCTGAGGTACCTGAAGATGGAGGGATTGCAATGTTGCTGTATGATATAGATTTGTTAATCCACATACATGTACAAATAATCCAGTTCAAGACCAAACTGGCAATTTGAAAATATCAATTTATTTTCTTAAATGAAAAGATCGACTTTTAAGTGATTAACAACAAACTGCAGCCACAAATACCAGGCCATCATTGAGGGAAAAGTAGAAAAGCAGAACATTAAAAATTGTAAATCAACATGCTGGTCATATTGGAGCTCCAATTTTAAGTGTACAAGGTGAGGTGGACCATATATATCATTTGCCAATTTTATTGGACTTTCTTTCTGAGGATGGGGACCCTTCTCCACTGGACTGCACCTACTGCTGTGGCTCTTTCACACTCAAAGTCTGGGGGTGGAGGTAATGTGGGTGTATTAAAGAAATCTTGCTGTTCTTCTGGTCTGTCGCCAGGCAGGGCTGCTTCCAGACATTTGCCAGGTTTATTCCTCCTTTGGGTGTTGGGGAGGATCCTGTTCTCCATCAGTGAAATCCTGGGGCTGTTACCCAGGCATAAGCAACCAAGAACAGTGAACATCAAGAGTAAACATACTCTCACAATCAACTACAGAACAATTGAGTACTATAGTGTCTTACTGAAAGCATCTCTTGCTTTGATGAAATTACTTGCACTCGCAGTCAATAAGACTAGAGGTTTTTCAAAAACAATTTGAGAGTTGCAAAGTGCCCCCAGGTAGTTTGGAACTCACATTCTCACAGAGTCAAATAGTATAGAAACAGGCCCTTCCATCCATCATGTGCATGGTGACCAAAAAAACACCAAACTATACTAATCCCTTTTACTTGCACTTGGTCGATATCCTTCTGTGTCCTGGCATTTTAAGTGCCTGTCCAGATGCTTATTCAATGTTGTGAGTGTACCTGCTTCTATCACCCTCTCAGACAGCATATTCCATATTTCTACATCGTCTGGATGAAAGAAAATGTTTCCTCAGATCTCCTCTAAACCACTTACTCCTCATGTTAAACTTATCCCCTCTGGTCTTAGACACGTCTGCCATGGGGAAAAAATTCTCACGATCTACTCTCTCTATGTATCTCATAATTTTGTATACCTCTATCAGATTCCTCACTATCCCGCTTTCCCATCCCATCCAGCCTCTCTGCTCCAGGGAAAACATACCCAGCCTACTCAGCTTCTCCTCATAACTGAGACTTTCCATCCCAGACAACATCCTGGTGAATTTACTCTGTACCCTCTCCAGTGTAATCATGTCCTTACAGTAGTGTGGCAACCAGAACTACATACATTATTCCACCTGTGGCCTCAGTAATGATTTATAAGGTTGCAACTTCCCTGCTCCTATATTCTGCCGCCTAGCTAATGAAGGCAAGCTTCCCATGTGCCTTCTTCACCAACCTGTCTACCTTCAGGATCTATGGGCTTGTACACTTTTATTCCTCAGTAGTCCTTTGGGACCTGCAGTCTATTGTGTAAATCCTGCCCTATTTGACCTCCCAAAATGCAATACCTCACACTTATCAGGATTAAATTCCAACTGCAATTGCTCTGCCCAATTTACCAACTGATCACCATCAGATTTTAATCTAAAACAATCCTCCTCATTATCAACAACACCACCAATTTTCATGTCATCCTCAAACTTATTAATTATACCTTCTACATTATATCTATGTTTTTATATTTTTAGCCACCTTTTGCAAAAAAAATCAATTAAATTAGTCTGACAGGATCTCACTCCAACAAATCTGTGCTAACTATCCCTGATGAATCTTTGCCTTTCCAAGTGCTGATTAATCCTGACCCTCAGAACTTTTCTAAGAATTTGTCTACTACTGACGTTAGACTAACTGGTCTGTACTTACCTGGCCAAAACCTTCCACATTCACATCCAATCCATTAATATACATAACAAACAGGAAGGGTCCCAGTTCTGAAGAAGGGCCATTTGACCCAAAACATTAAATTGTTTCCTCTCCACAGATGCTACCAGACCTACTGAGTTTTGCCTGCAATTTCTGTTTTTGTTTCAGGGTCCTAGTACTATTCCAGTGGTATACTACTGGTCAGAGGCTTCCTATCACAATAACAACTCCCCCCCATCCCCCTTTGTCTCCTATTTACAAACTAATTTTGATCCAGTTCGTCAACTTGCCTTTGATCCAATGGTTTGTTAGTTTTTGGACCTGCCTTCCAAGTGGGACCTTGTCAAAGGCCTTACTGAAGTCCATGTATACCGCTTCAATTGTACAACTGTCATAAATAATATTTAGTCACCTGCCTTCCGAAGGTACACAAAGCCAACACACCTGGACATCCCATTGTATCACATAATGAGACCCTGTGAGAGAACCTCTCTGGCTATGTCAAGGGCATCTTGAAACCCATTGTACAAGGATCCCCCAGCTTCTGTTGCGACACTGCAGATTTCTTACAGAAACTCAGCACCCATGAACCAGTTGAACCAGGAACATACCTCGTCACAATGGATGTTTTGGCACTCTACACCGGCATCCCCCATGATGACAGTATCACTGCAACAGCCTCAGTACCCAATACCAACAACTGCCAATTTCCAGGCGCCATCCTACAACACATCTGCGTCACCCTAGACCAAAACTCTTCACCTTCGACAAACAGTTCCTCATCCAGACACACAGAACAGTCATGGGGACCAAATCTGCACCCTAATATACCAACATTTTCATGCACAAGTTTGAGCAAGACTTCTTTGCTGTGCAGGGCCTCCAACCAATGCTATACATCAGATACATCAACGACATTTTTCCCTTCGGACTCACGGTGAGGAATCACTGAAATAACTACATAGTGATACCAACAAGTTTCAGTCCCGCATCAGACTTACCATGGGCTACTCTTCAGAATTAGTCTCATTCTTGGACACATAGATCTCCATCAAGGACGGACACCTTAGTACCTCACTGTACTGCAAGCCCACAGATAACCTCATGATGCTTCACTTCTCATATTAAAGAATTAAAGAATATTAAAGAAATCATCTGCTACGAACAAGCTTTGCGCATACACAGGATCTGCTCAGATGAGGAGGAACGCGGCAGACACCGAAAGATTTTAAAGGATGTCCTCATAAGAAAAGGATACAATGCTCAATTCATTGATCGCCAGTTCCAGTATGCCACTGTGACAAAATGCAACAACCTCTTCAGAATATACAATCGATCGAGTACCCTTCGTCATCCAGTACTTCCCTCGAGTGGAGATACTACGCCATTCTTCACAGGCTTCTACATGTTATTGATGATGACAAGCATCTCGCCAAGATCATCCATTCGCCTCCATTTCTTGCCTTCAAACAACAGCCAAACCTTAAACAGACCATCTCTCACAGCAAACTACCCAGCCTTCAGGACAACATTGACAACAACACCACACAACCGTGCCAATGACAACTTCTGCAAGACATGTCAGATCATCGACATGGACACTACCATCACACATGGGAACATCACCCGTGATGTACACGGCAGATACAAATGTGGCTCAGCCAATGTCGTCCATCTCATACAATGCAGGCAAGGCATGGTATATTGGCGAGACCATGCAGACGCTACGAAAGCGGATGAATGGACACCATTCCACGGTTGTCAGACAGGAATATTCCTTCCCAGTTGGGGAACACTTCAGCGGTCAAGGGCATTCAGCCTCAAACCTTCGGGTAAGTGTCCTCCAAGGTGACCTTCGAAATACACAACAACGTAGAATTGCCAAGCAGAAACTGATAGCCAAGTTCTGTACTGATGATGACGTCCTCAACTGTGATCTTGGGTTCATGTTGCGCTACATGTGACCCAACCACACTTCTGTATTTGTAAAATCTTCCTTACTGTCCTGTTTTGACACCATCACCTTGATAAAATGTTATGGTCTCTCTTCCTTAATTAGTTTGTACAGTTTTGGATTATTTATTACTTCAGTTAGATCCTTGTCATGCAACTTTTATACCTATCATGTTATTCCAGTCATTTAGTTTGTCTCCAGCGCCACCTTATTTTTAATTGTTTGTAATTATCTCTCTGCCTCATTTAATCAGATCATTCGTTTGTTTGTTATTCAGCTGTTGACACTTTACTCACACCATCTAACACATTTGATCACCTGCAGAGACTTATTATTCGACACTCTATTCATACCATTTGTATGATCTTTTGATCTCTCTGCCCTTTGTCCACCCCAGTCCAACACTGGCACCTTCACATTATCACTGATCAATCCCTGCCTTTCCCAGTGTTGATAAGTCCTGTCTCTCAGAATCTTTTCCAATAATTTCCCCACCACTGATGTCAGACTAACTGATATGTAATTACCTGCCTATCCTGCTGCCCTTCTTGAACAAAGGAACCACATTAGCTATCCTCCAGTTATCTGGCACTTCACCGTTGGCCAGCAAAGTATTAAATGTCTCTACCAGGATCCCAGTAGTCCTCTTCTTGTTTTGCATAGCAGCCTGGGGCACATCTCAGAAGGCCCTGAGGATATGGGAAGGCAACAGCCTAATGGTATTATTGCTGGACTATTAATCCGGAGACTCAAGTAATGTTTTGGGGACCTAGGTTTGACTCCTGTCACGGCAAGGTGAATTCAAATTCGACGACAATCTAGAATTATGAGTTTAATAATGACCATAAATCCTTTGTTGATTGTC